CAACAATGTGTTGTTGGACGTGAGAATCTTTTATATCCTCGCTCGCCTCGAGTGGGATGGTGGGTGGGTCGAGAGAAATCTCTCGCTTAGCTTTTGTCCCGCCCTAACCCGCCCTTGTGATATACTTTGGGCCTAGCCCCTAGCCGTTGTGACTGCAGGGACTCGTGGCAATCCCCGTTGGAAGAAAAGAGTGATGTGCGCGAGCCTTTTTCTTATAAATACACTTTATCATTATGGAATAGAATTCTTTTGAGAATTTATTCAATATATTCGTGGGAAATATTTCGCAAACATAATGATTGCACATGCCACGTTCCACAACAGAGAATAAAGTCCGATTCTTCTCTTGTGAATGCGCAGCTCGCCGAGCTGAGCCACTTGGAAGATGCCAACAACTTGAACATATGGTTTGAACGCGTGCCGAGCGCATCAAATCCTGCTGATGAAGCATCTAGGATGGTGCTTGACAAGCGCTCTGCATCGCAGCGTGTTAGGTGGTCTCCGGAGATACTTGCTTGACAGCTCGGTGCTTCTACGAGGGGCATCTGTGCACCTTCGCTTGCAAGAACATCTCATGCAGGATCTGTGCTCTTACTTAGCTTGCTGGATTGTCTTTTGCGAACGGCTTGAAGCTGTGTACTACTCGAACTCCGGGAACCGCCACGTTTCAAAAAAGAGTGTCGCTGAGTTTAGTGCTGAGTGAGTGAGTGCTGCGTTTGTGATTTATAATGCGAATAAGTAGTTTTGATTGCATTTCCTTGGGCATCACGGATCACCAGTTTCAGCGCTGGGAATTCTGATGTTCCTAGGTCTTCACTGTAATAGGTCAACGGTAGGACATGACAGTCAGCTCCACTATCTAGTACGACCTCTGTCAAGCCTTCATCCCATACGTGGACTTGGGTCGGCTTTTCTTTTGCTTTTGCTGTTGTGGACCAAGTTGCTGATCGTTCCGGCATGGTGGAGAAGTGATAGTGTTGTATTGGAACATGCATTTGTACGACGGGCGCACATTTCGGAGTCGACTTGGCTTCTTCCTAGCGGCTGTTGCCGGTGCAACACATGAGTTACGTTTGCGGATTTTTCGCGACGTGTTGTGACTGCTGTAAGCATACGTGCCACATAATCAGGGAAGCTTGCCACTGAGCGGGTTCGCAATACCTTTTTACGGGCAGATGGGCTTGCTGTGCCATGGAATTATCATTGTTCTAGTTGTGGTTATCTTACAATGTTGCATTGAAATCTTTCGCACTTCCGTTCCCGGCTTGGGCTCACAGTGCGAAACGACATTTATTTGACGCAAACGGGCTGCTCAGCCCGCACCTCGTGGGGATCTTACGAAGAGGGGGCGGGGTTGTTCGGTGCGACCGCCATTGCACGTGTGCGTCTTGGGGGAGGCTGACGCTTGCTTCCCTGCCAGAGCCTCAGAAGGCCTTAGGCCGCCTTTGCAGCGCCTTGGCAGTGGCAGTGCTTGAGGTGTTCATAGTTCTACCCAGCGGAACCGCTTCGCCTTGCCATGGCGGCGCCTGCTGCGCGGAAACTTGCGAAGGCGCCCAAGAACCCTTCTAGGGAATGTTTTTGGCTGCACAGCAGTCTTTCCAAGCGTGCAGGACATCGAGGTGGTGGCAAACTTAGACGCTGTTCATGTGTTCGTGCATGCTGACTTGGACTTTGCTGGAACCTGCAGGTCCTTAAAAAGGCCCATGAGGGCTGTGAAGAGTTCGACGAGTGTCTTGGCACAATCCCACTTCTGTGTAAAGAACTCTTCTGCAGACATCCTCCCTGATTGCTTCAGGTTTTGGGACCAGATTGCCACTGCGCAAGGGTCCCAGAAGGAAAGATTGGGCGAGGAGCTCAAAAAGCTACGGCCTCAGCGGCTATCGGAGGGCCTCAGCAATCAGTTTTAGGGCCTGAAAAATTCTGAGGGACGCCATGCTCGTTGATGCAGGTGCATCAACAAGCAGCAAAGACTCAGATCCCAGATGAGAGACTGGCTCGTCAGCTGCCAAGTGTGTGAGAACGCAGTTCTTAGCTGCCAACGTTTTGCTGCTTTGCTTTGCAGAGCTTGCAGGGATCACCTCAAGTCCCAGCCCCTTTGAAAGACAAGCTGGAGGAGGCAGGTCATGTTCAACAGGTGCTTTGGCATACTCTAGCTACTGGTAATTCGGGGCAGGCCAGAAAGCGAATAGAAAGCGACATGGCAAGATTCAAGGCCAGGCTTGGGCTACCCGCAGCTACCCAGCCGTCACGACTGCCGTCAGGACTTCGAACGAGAGTTCAAGACCAAGGCCTTCTCCTACACTGGCTTGGTGTGGAGCCAAGGATGGGAAGCTTTCGGGGGCCCTTCTTAGACCGTGGGTGAAGCCTTTTGAATCTCCTAAGGCGAAGACCGACGAGTTAGACCTAGAAGAAGCCGAAAAAGTCAAGTCTCAGGACTGGCCTGGCTCCCGAGACGACTTCGTAGGAATTCGTGTCGCCTTCGCCTGAATGCCTTAAAGACTTCGCTCCCGAGGCTGGCACAGACCATTCAGAGTCTCAAGGACCAGCTGGACCAGTTCGAGGCGCTGACGCTTTGCTGCCTAGCTGCTCTGAGCCGTGAGCCGTCTGAGGCTGATCTGGAGTTCCTGCAGGGCAAAAGGCATGCCTTTCGTAGATCGCAAGCCTGAAGCAGCCTGGTGTGACTTGAGTTTGCCTGGCCAGGTCCTTAAACAGCGACGAGAAGTCCAGATTGCCCAAGCTCCAGACAGCTCAAGACAGGTCTGGTCCCCCCTTGTACCGAAGGTCTCCATGTTACCACCTGCCAGGACCCGGTGGCACATCAAGAAGCTAGAGCAGTTGTTGAGAGCTGTCAGCAATGATGCAGTTGAAATCAGCGACTTGGCGGTTGCCCGGCTGCAGCGGACGCACTTCTCTTTGTTCTTCTCGCTCTTACAACCTCCTGCAGAGGTTGTTCGAGACAGCATCGATTGCTATGTCGATGCCGGCGAGGACTCGACTTGCCAGGGAAGCCAGGTAAAAAAGCTGTGCGGCAATTTAATGCCGCAGGATTCTGATGGAGTCCACGACGAGACGCTCTACGACTACTTCGTGCGCAGCTTTTCTTCTTCGCTGCGAGTGCGTTGCTTTGAGAGTTGCTTTGCTGGTAGGATCTGGCAGACTACGAGGAGAAGGTCGCTCCTGCGAGGACTTGCGGTCCTCGGCCTTGCTGGTGGCCTCTGGAACACCCCCTTGTACTTGTTCGAACGTAGAGGAGCGAGAACGACTCCAAGGATGATTCCCCGGCGGGAAGCAAAGAGGACTCTCACGCCCTCCGGGATTTCAAGGGATTGGCCGCTTGGCCTGCAGCAGGAGTCGCACAAAAAGCAGAAAGAAAAGGACAAGAAGAAGAAGGAGGCCAGGGCGGAGATGCGGCCGCCATTGCATTCTCATGTCTCTTCCGCTATTGCCCGCTACTCCGCTGAAGGACAAGAAGGCAAAAGCCAAAGCTGAGAAGAAGGAGCGCGAAAGGGAATCCGCAGCGTTTGAAGAGCAGAGTTCAATCCCCCAAGATTCCATCGGGTAGTCCACCCCGACGTGACACGTGCATGAGTGCGTGTGTGGGAGCGTCCCTGTGATGCAGCCCGTCCTCTCCGTTGTTGCACTTTGCTGAATGCATGCATTCTGCTGCAGGTGCAAAGTGCAGGCCACCTGTGGCTCTGGTGCTTGCGTGCTGTCGTGAGATGGGCTCTCGCAGGCATCATGAGCAAGTCCGGCATCGCCAGGGCCAAAGCAAGCGGAAACGGGTGGCGGGCCTGCGGGCCTCGGTTTTCTGAGGTCGGCAAGACGCTGATCGAAGGAAACGGCCACGGGCATGGCCATGCGCCCAGAAGAGGCCGAGGCAAGCAGGTCGCTAGCCGCTACCCAGTTGCCATGCCAGGGCCGGTCGAGGTGAAGCAGCTCGAACTGGACGAGGCGAGAGAAGCGAGAGAGCCTGAGGAGTCTGAAGAGAGAGGGAGGGAAAGCCGCCGGTGAGTTCAGCAACTGTGAGCGCGCGCCAAGCACAGTTCGTTTCTCTCCCGTTGCGAGGTGAAGGTCCAGGAGGCCGCTGCAATGCAAAACTGTAGGGGGATTCTCTCCGAGTCTCCGAGTCTAGACTTAGAGTCTTTAGAGAGCGCCTCCGACTCCCCCCTTCTCTCAGGAGCAGCTGGTCCAGGAAGCCGAAGAGCGGCTTGGACAGGAGAGCAGCCCGTGCGGGCGTTTTGTGTGGAGGGACGCGCTTCTCACCGCGCTGGACCGAGGTTCATCTGCAAGATCTGCCAGATCTACGTGGTCGGGCTTGGGCCCCGCGAGAGCTCTCGGGCTGGGCTGGCGCTCTCCTTTCGTGGTTTTGGGGATCAGGTGCGTCCCAAAGCTGACGACCTGCTCCCACATCTTCTGCGGAGATTGCATCGCAACCTGGCCAGGGGGCCCAGAAGAGAGCTAGTGAGAGGCTTGCCCCTCCAGTTCGGACTCCAGTGCGCTCCAGGTTCAATCAGCATCCAGACACCCAGACATGGGCACAGCGAGCAAAGGCTGCTGGCCCCGATCGGTGTGTACCATGCCCTGCAGGGGCCCAAGCCTTCGTTTGGCCAGCTCTGTGATGAGCACAGCATACCTTAACGGACGCAGGTGTGCAAGAAGTCTCTGAATGAGAACCATGATCTATCCCCAGTGCCACCTGCTTGCACTGTGCTACCATGCCGCCCATGCCTTCGGATGCCGGTAAGATTCTACATGCATGATCCTCAGCCGAGGTGTAGCAACACGCAGCGGAGTGAGAACGTCCTCCTCTGGAGAATGCTTTCACAGAAAAGGATTGTTTGCCTGGCACACAGGAGACAAGACCTTCGAAGCGTTCGAAGCGTTCGAAGTTGTCGGTGCGAGGCCAGAACAATCCGAAGGTGAGGGGCGAAACTGGAAGATGTGATTGGGTCGGCGAGTGCGCGGAGAGAAGGGCAGCCGCCTTGGTTGCAAGTCGATATCTTCTGTGTGTTGCGAGGTACTGCAACTACCAGAAGCACATAGACATCTGCAAAAACGTTCCGCTTGCAGAAGCTGGATATCCTGCAGAGGTGCATCGGAGGGTTGTTGCCAGGGTACAGTTCTGCCAGCTGGGCCAGCCGTCCAACGCCAGGTCTCCTCCGCTCCTAAGGAGGCTCCCGTCGTAGAGAAGGTGCAACGCGGGCGGGGCTGAGGCTAAGCAAAGCAGCCAGAATCAGAATCACCGTGGACATCGCAAAGTCGCAGAGTGTTCCGTGGAGTTGTTACAGAGTTGTTGCTGGTGATCATGTTCCCGGCACCTCTGGAGGCCCCATGCGTGCCTCCTGTGCCATCAAAGCAGTTGGCGACATCGCCTCCCGGACCTCCCGCGGCCCGAAGCTCTGGATGTCTTGGCTCAGACGCTACAGTAGAGTCCAGCACCGACTAAGGTTCAAAACACCGGCCCGGCCCTTAGTCGTTCTGAAGGAAACAGTGACACGGAGCGGGTCTATGTGAAACAGGTCCGACAACGCCAGCGCCGAAGCAGGCCGGTGGGTTGGAAGCACCCCGCTGATAGAGTAGAGGGATGTAGAGGGTTTTGGTGCAAACGTTTTGGAGGCAGCTGCTCCAACCAAGACTTCAGCGCCAACGGTCAGCCTCCCCAGCATGCATCTCCTGCGTCTATTCGTTGGTGATCTCTGTGGAGAAGTAGCAGTAGGAGAGAGCGGGACCTGCCGCGTCCTGTGAGGTGCCTGCGCAGGCCATGGCCACTGCGCCAGCCATGGTGCCCAACGGGACCAACTCGGCCCCTTTGGCACCCTGTGCGCCGAGCGCCCCACCGTCAGGAGAGCTCATAGCCCTCAATGGCCAAGTCCCCAAGCCCAAGCCCCAAAACCCTAATGTGCCCTGTAATGCACCTAAACCCTAAACCCTTAAGCCTTAAGACATGCCCACTCCTTCGCAGGCGTCAGACCGATGCAGCCGGCGCAAGCGCCCGCGCCGGTGCCGGCAGTCCCATCGCCGGCCCTGCGTCCCGAGGCAGGAGCGAATCTTAGTGAGGTCAGAGAGGTGTCCTTAGCCTGAGTTTCTGAGGTGGTGAGAGTGCAGACAAGGCCGAAGCATTCGTGCCATCTCAGCGTTGATCAGCTGCGAGTTGGTAGGTCCGAGTACGACATCGGTGTTGGTGGCAGTCTCAGAATCCTCCAGGCAGGGACTCCGACAGCCGTTTCTGGATCCAAGGTGCGTCCCCGGCCCCAGCAGCACAGTCGGCGCAGCCGCAGGCACGTGCAGAGACTATGCCAAACCAAAGCTCCAGCGCTGGAAACACTCTTCACTTGCCCAGATGCAGATGCAGCAGCCGTGACTCGTCCTGGATGTAGCATCTTCGAGAATTCGCGGCTGGGGCTCGACGTAAGGCGAAGAGACGTGCTTTTCACCGGCAGAGCAGTTGGTAACTTCGAAGCCACCGGTCCCACAATGGTCTGACCCTGAGCCGTGGCTAGAATGTTGGAAGCAACGCATTTGCATCTTTTTTGCCTTGAGATCGTTCGAGGTTCCCGTCCGACAAGGTGATTTCATTGAGGCTTCGATGCGAATATGACATAGCGTGCCTTCAAGAAGTTGCATTCCAGGTACTGGAAACGGATCCTTCTGGCTGGACCTTTGCCAGAAACACCTCAGTGCTCAGCTCAGTGAAAGTGAGGCGTGCATGCCGCGCTGACGCAATCGCAGCACCGCATCGCCGGCCGAGGGCTCCAGCTCGACGGGTTGGGTGCCAACTTGGATCGTCGAGACCCCGGCGGCATCCGGTGCTCACACCGGGAGTTGTGCTGTTTGACGGCTGCCCAGGTACCACCACCCATCGAACCTGCACAACAGAGACCCGCCACCGGCTCGGAAACATCTTGAGCCTGGAACGGACATGCTGAAGTCGATGCCGCAAGTGCAGAAGTGGGGTACTCGTGCCACGCAGTATATGCCACACACGCACGCAAGAGAGCTGACATGCGCTTGCGAACATGCGCCTACTGCGTTGAGCATCGAGTGCGAGTTGCGCAGCAGTTGTACTTCACGCTCCGTGCTACGTCCAGACCTAAGAGGCGAGTCTTCCGAGATCTTCCGAGGTTCCGGAGGTGCAACAAGCACTTCAGACGCGGCAAGCGCATCAAGCGCAACCTGTGCAGCCCGTGCAACCTCTGCAAGAGACTCGGCTCTGCCCTTCGCTTTCCGAATGCAGCGATTTGGGCGATTTGCATCTCAAGGCGGGAGACACGGGAGAGAGACGCAGCAAGCTGAGAAGGGGTGTCCTCAGAGCCAAGGCCCCCATTCTTTTTCGCACGCTCAGGTCCCTCCTCGACAGCTGGAGACCAGAAGCGAGGCCTCGGCCGGCGGCTCCGGCTCCGGCTGTTTTCCTTAAAGCTTTCGACGCACGAAGAGAGGCACCGTGAAGCCTTGTCTTGTCTCAGGCCAGGGGGCTCGCTCGTGCGCTCCAGCCCTTCACTTCCGGTAGTGATTCTCAGATGACTCTGAACACATCGGACCGCCCAAGGGGTACAGAAGCCAATATCTTGAGAGCAGGAGGGAGAGCTACAGTAGGCACGAAGACGGCCTCGAAGGATTACGTGGAGATCGTGGAGCGCCACCACACGGGCTGGACATTCGGCCGCAAGGCACGGCTTCTGTCCACTTGTTTGTCTCGTGGGAAGAAGCCGTGCGGGCCACGGTGATTGCAGGTGGATGCAGTCGGAACTGCGGTATCCGAGGGTTGGTTCCCAGACTGGGTCGGACACCTCAGCCCAAGCTGTGGAGCTCTGCATAGCTCTGCAGAATTGCTTTGCCAGGTCTGCAATCCCAAGCCACCCGGCGGCACACAAAAGCGCGATGCATCGCAGCGATGCGCAGTAGCGCGGCGCAGTAGCGAGCGAGGCCGTGAAGCGCAGTCGTGAAGCTCCGCTTTCGCCCGGCCGGCCCTGCGACGCTGCACAATGGATCAGGGCTCTTTTGATCGCTGTGCTGTGCCAGGCGCATCTCACCTTTTTTCAGCAGTTGGTGCACGGCCGGTTCGCTTCGTGTTTGCAGCTAAGACTAAAGAGTTCCGCTCCTGAGTTTTGCACGCCTATGCCAAGCTACCCAGGGTGCCATCCGACGTTGTGGCTCGTGACTGGAGTGAGCAGATGCTGCGATCATTCAGCACGACAGAGCTGGTATCAAGCTTCTCTTCTGCTTCATTCCGCGCAGCATTTGGACAGACAGTTTTGTCCTTTAGCCATTCGCGATTCGCCCGAGCCTTGGCGCCGCACAGCCTTGGGCCGCAAGCATCAGGAGATTCTGAAATCAGAGATATGCTGCTATGCCATCTATGCCATCTATCGAGACTTCTTACAGGGTCTTCTCGACGCTTGTCAGACCAGAGTTCCAAAGCGCTCCGGCTTGTGTCAAACTGCTGCATGCTCCAAAAACAGCCCATCCGCGACATTCGGCCACCTCCGTCAGAAAAAAAAGCTCTCTGCCACGCTCTGCCATGGCAATGCTGTGCGGTTTTCAGTGTTGATCCTGCTGCAGTCTGCAGCCGCTGCAGCGGGAATTTGTTTGCCTGGCTATGGGTGGCCTTAAGAATGAATGACCCATCTCTGGATGATGGCGAGGAGAGAACTCGATTCACAGCGCTCCTTTCTCTGCTTTGTGTTGTCGAGGACAAAAGCCACAGCATCGAGGACCTCTTGCGAGCTTTGGAAAAGCATCGTGCGTTCGCCCAGTGCCGATGCCTTGAGGTGAGAGCTGTGAACTAAGTCCCAAGGTGTCGAATGTGAGCAAGCGGGCAGGCAGGGACCGAGGGGGGATCACGGCCGCGGGATGCCGGGTGCTGCCGTGGGGTGCCGTAGTCACGGTCGTGCTTGCGGTGTGCTTGCGTCCGCCGTGGCGTAGGTACGAGGAGGCGGAGCTGGCACGGCTCCGCTTGGACCAGCTCCGACAGCACGAGGCCATGGCCTGCCGCGGATGCCGTGCCTGCGCGTGCCTGCGTGTGTCTGCGTGTGTCTCGTGTCCCTTAAGAGGAGCGGAGTCGCCGGGATGCCCTCATGGAGCAGCAGCACCAAGCCCAGCAGTGACTGCAGCATACAGGTAGCGCCGAGATGTAACCCTACCGAAATCATCATGCTGCGCACAAGTTACGCGTTCTCTTGAGACTTAAGCCATTCTTGGATTCGTCATGGGCCGAGCGAGAGAATGGGAGGGCGAGAGGAGAGACGGAGAGCGATCCACCGGTGCTGCGGGAGCCGTCTGCGGACTCCCCACAAAAGTTGCGCTTGACAGCGCAACAGGCCTTTTTCAGGCCAGACGAATCCTGTGCGTGATTCGAGTTGTTACGAAGATTGAAAAAGCAGTGACTGCACAAGCATCCTCAGGAGTGCTCAAAAGGAGACTCGATCGCCATGAGGCGAAACACAAGAAGTCACGCTAGCCCCGCGCCCACGAAGTGTCCTGGCCCTGGCGCACAGACCAGCAAAGTCCTGCACCAGAGTGGACAAGGCTGTGCTCGAAGGGTCATGAAAGTGCCATAGCCGTCACGACCTCGCAGAGGGATGTGCTTCTTGTGGGTAGCAAAACAGCACTGGTTGCGGCCGGTACATCACATCGATTGCTCAAAGAGCTGATCTCAAACAAGCACGAAGCCAAGCGCGTGGGCTTTTTCCACACCTCAGCGTATTGACCGAGTGTACTGAAAACCATGCTTATTGCGCAGCTCCTCCCAAGGCTCCATCATCCACAACGTACTTGTAAGAGGATTCTCAAGCACAAAGGGAGTTTTGGTTTCGATACAAGCACGAATAATCAGACGCAGCATGAAATGGAACAAATTGTTCCCATCCTTGAGCTTTCGCTGATCTGACCCGACAGGTTCTGCAAACCCCACACACACATTGAGGCATATGCGGAGGTCCTGTTCACAGCCCATCTTTTTTTTCGAGCTTGCGACAAAGTCGTGCAAGGCATACCTCGCCACAGCAATCCCAACTGCATTGAGTGCCTGTGAACTATGCGCTGTACCTGCAAAAACCGCCAAGCACATGGTTCCGTCGATGAAACACCTTCCGTAGCGCTGAGCCTGCGGAAGGCCAGCTGGACGGACCTCATCTTAGCTCCTGGCGCTCTGCAGCCACGGTGGAAGGACGCTCTGCGAAGCGCTGCGAACTCCGAGAGCTTCTCCGCGGCCGCCGGACGCCTTGCGCAGTCCATGTCTGATGAAGTCGCAGCAGCGGGCCAGCTCCACTCCAGCGGACGTTTTTGCCGCAGGTGCATGTCGAAGTCGGCCACCACTTTCGGTGCCATGACAACAGCATAGCGATGTACCGTACATCGCGCGACGTGGCAGCGGCAGCCTGCTTCCTGGTGGCACCTCCTTGCGCCCTTTCAAACCACGTCTTCTGCGAACTCTGTTTTTCCCCGCATGGAACTCCAGGGCCGCCCCTCTCCATACGTCGAAGACGACCACATGCACTGCATGCAGAAGTCCGCTGCACTCCGCAGATCGTCCGCGGCCGAAGCTCTCGGCTCCTGACTCCGCTGAGGGCCTCTCCGTCTGCCGTCTCCGTGGGGGTCCCACCTCCGCATATCGGAGGTGTTTTCGCTTTCGCCTCAACGCCGTCACCTTCTTCCACTCGCCTCAGTGGACATGGAAAGCCGTCATCGGATTCCCATAGGTATAGGGCCTTGGTGGAGAGGTGTGGAGAGGAGCGGTGCTCCCAGGGGGGCGAATGCGGATGCGTTGGGGGCCCGGGATTAGCCCGCAGTCGCCCAGGTTGGGAGTTTTTCGGGTCTTGGGGGATGAAAGGGGGGGAGGGGGACGGGGCAGCAACGACAGAAGCACAACGAGCCCAAATTATCAGTTGGCATGAGTCGTTCTCTGTGCAACATGGACTTGGTATGCATGATGGTCGGTATGTTCAAGCATGTCTGCGTTTCTGCATGGTTGCATGCATGTTCTTATGAATAAGTGTAGGTAAGCATGCTAGCCACTGTCACGCAGTCTTCCACTGCGTGCAAAGTGTTTGCACACTGTCACACTTCTTGTGTCATGCTTCAAGCTCATGTCAAGTCTTGATGCGGACATGCCCTCCGAAGTACATCATCGCAGATCGCGCAGTACACGACAAGAGGCTCGCGGAACGCATGGGCGTGGAAGAAGCTCACATGTTGGGCTTGCAGGCGCAACGTGACAACATGTGCCTTCGTGGGGACGTGCATCGGCGCTTCCCGGAAGGAGTTCAGCAACATCTGGGACCAGAAGCAGCAGGACTTTGATGCTCGTGCTGGAGCCTTGGATGTAGGTAGGATTGAAAACGGATCTAAGGGCAGGTATCCATCCGACGTGCTGTCTCAGGCGAACCAGCTACAGAAGGTCCTCGCGACCCGACATAAGCAAGAGCACCAGGAGCCGCAGTCCGGTTCACCGGTGCACGACTCTTCAACGTAGGGGGGGGGGGGGCGATTGGCCATGGCCCCCATCATCCCTGTTGAGAGAGGCGCACCTGGAGAAGCTCCGAAGAGAAGTGGAGCCCAGGAGAACGGATACAGATACGGATACGGGATCTGTAAACATCTGGCCGTCAGAGGACACCGAGGTGGAGCCGCGATCTCCTCAACCTACGGAAGATCCAGGATACGATGCGGCGATGCGGCGATGCGGCGACGCCGGCACTCGATCGCCCCGGGCTGTTTCAACCTTTCTCAACGTCGCAGGAGACCTTGGCAAAAATGCGGAAGTACGCAGAGGCTGAGAAGACAAAGGCCAGGCTCTCGCAAGGCTTCTCATTCTCAGCGATTCCTCGATGTAAAGGTTCAGGCAGACAAGCTGGAAGCAAGAGAGCACAATCAATGGAAGGTGCGCGAAGTAAGCACACATAAGAGGTCGGCGAGAGAGGAACCCTGCAGGAGAAGCGTGAAGCCAGGATTGCGGTTATGGAGGAGCAGCAGGGGACCCGGACACGCTTGAAAGGGCAAAAAGGGCACAGGCGGCGACTGGCGGCGACTCGTCAGGTTCCTGCACAAGCAGCAGCTTGAGATGGGGGGCCTGCTCAAGCGGCTCAAGCCGCTGAGCCCAGTTAAACTGTCTCCCGTGCCGATGCCGCTGTGCTGTGCTGTGCTGTGCTGTCCTCGCAGTTGCGATGCGCAGGGCCTCCCGCGAAGAGCTCCGGCGCAGTCGTAAGGCGGAGATGGAGCGCCTGCTGCAGCGCCCGGCCCTCGGCCCCCTCGGCCCTCGACCCGTCTGAGCTACAAGAGGGCGCTAGGGCGCAGTTTTGTGAGGATACCAAAACCTGAAGATGCAAATGGAGAACCAGCAGCGCATCATCCAGCAGCGCGTGGAGAGGCAGGGACAGGATGGAAGCCATGCGTCGCTGCGTCGGTGCGCGCTTCCGCTTCGGATTCTTGCTAAAGGTATCCAATCACGGCGCCGATGATCAACAACAGCTCCAGGCCCCCATCAGGTGGGCCTGTGCCCTTTGGCTAGATGAAGCAGCATGATGCTTGCTGCAGCTTGAGAGTGTTTTCTTTGCCAAGGTCATAGCTCGTTTCACTCCAGAGGCATGTGCTTCTCTGTGAGAGATGCCTCAGGACATGTTTCACAAGCGTTTGGGGCAGCCCCAACTTGGCCGCCAAAAAGAAGCTCTGTGAGTTCATGTGCTGCCACTGGCGAGCACTAACATGCACTCTCTGACAGTGTCACGCTTTCGTGCATGTTTCTCGCTCCTCTTCCAGACTCCAAAGAAAAGAAGCGACATACCTCGCAGACTTTTGGCACATCCCGCAAAGCCGTAAGTCTCAGGACGTGAACACAAGGATACTTGGAACTTCTAACCTCGAAGGCAGAAAGCCGGCAAGGCGTTCAGAGGCGCAGCCCGATAGTCGACGTTCCCACCCGCCCTCTTCTTTACGAGGAGAGGGGGCGAGAAAGAGAGAGAGACAGAGAGAGAGAGAGAGAGAGAGGCGCGTTTTTTTTTGTTTTTGTTTCGCTTCCGTCGGTGAGTGTTGACTCTGCGCAGGAAGTCCTTTAGATGGAGGACTACCGCGAGGCGCGGGCGGGGGGCGGGGCGCACGCCCGTCCTCTCGGCGCAGAGTCGCAGAGTCGCAGAGCCGAGAGAGGTTTGGTCGATTCGCTCTCTCTGGAGGCGCAGCGAGCCAAGTGGCTCCGCCAGGCCGAGAGCGGGAAAGAAGCCGCCAGAACCAGCGGAGAGGAGGCCGCTGCATCCGCCTTCGCCTCGCCTTCGCCTTCTCCGCGGTTCCGCTGCGCTCTGTTCTCCGCTGTGCTTTCTCAGGACTCCGTGGGCGCCGGCTCCCAGGGCTCGGGAGCAGCCCGACCCTCCGAGGCTCCCACGGCAGGCTCGCTCTCCAAGCCGCCCGAAGCTGAGTAAAAACCGGAAAACCGGGGCCCTTCTCCGTGAGGGCTTAAAGGCAAACTGTTGTGCTGCCGGCCGTCAGGAACGCTCGCCGTGTGCACATCTTGCCTGTCTTCCCGAGTTCCTGCGACCAGAGCCAGCGCAGAGCTCAGCTCGGCCGAGCAGATTCAAGCAGCGTATCGCAGCTCGCAGCATGCTGCTCCCGCTGGTTCGCTGCAGGCGTTTGGAGATCTTGTCACCCCTTCTGCGAAGCATGCGAAACAATCAGGAGATCTGCCTTTGGCGGCCATCAGTCTTGTGCTTGAGCGTTGCGTATCGAAGCAGCCCCGCGATGCGCAGACTCCCGTGAAGACGGGGCTTTTTCTGAGACCTGCTGGATATGAGTTCGTCGTGGCCGGGGCCGCAGCAATTAAACTAAATCCTTGCCACTGTCAGAGGTGTCATGATCCCTGTTCCAACAAAGGTGAAATGCGAGCCAGATGACGCCATTCTAGCCTGTCCCCTTGGGAAAGCTTGACAGCTTGTGCGCGCAGCCCATATGCTATGAAGAGACTGAGGCCATGAACACCGACTACTTCATTGAAGGATCTCCGCTGAAAAGGTTCGAGAAGGTGGGCACAGCCTCCGGGCCCCTCGGCCCCTCGGCCTCGCCTCTGTCAATGCACCGCCTCGCGAGGTTCAGTTCATTTGCCTTTGGGACTTCGAACGAACTCGGACAGAACAGGCAGCCGTGCTGGAGAGCAATTAGTGCACTTCGAATCGACGGAAGAGTGTTGGACGCCAGCACTGACCATGACCTCTCATGTAGGTAAGTGAAAGGGGTCAGTCGCAGAGAGTTGCAAACACGTTGCAAATTGGGTGAGTTCCTATCGCCCTGCGCCAGGATGCAACAGCCTTGTTCCAAGAGTTCATCAACCCGTACTTCAAGAGGTTGAACTCCAACGAGGCCACTTGCAGACGAAGCATAAGCCGAGGCGATACAGTCTGGACGAAGTCGCCCTGAAGGGAGAGACGGAGAGACTGAGAGAGAGCGAGAACAACGTCCTGGTAAGGTCCGTTTTGACAGCGCCACACCTTTGCTTGTTGGGGCTGTCCCTTGCATGGGTCTTGGAGGCTTGTCTCTGTGGCAACCCGCAGAGCCGCAGAGCATAGGATTCGAGGAGACGCCCGATTACGGAACGCGGTTCTCTGGGGGAGGGCGGCGGTGGTGTCGGTCGTCCGGGTCCGGATCAGGGCAGAAGGGCTTGTGGGGACCTCATGCAACGAGTGATGAGAGGCAATAGCAGACGGCTTTGTTCAGGTAGGTTCGCTGAGCATCTTGAGTGAACGCGAGCAGTCCATCAGGCCTCGCATCAGGGGCTAATGCCCGTCTCAGAACTGGACTCCTGCAGAAAGAAGCTAAGGAAGACAGGCTGACAGCAGACAGAGAGAGGGAGGCGATAGAGGGATAGAGAGATGGGGAGATACAGAGAGAGAGAGAGAGAGAGAGACATGTCGAAGAGAATCAATTCAGCCGATGGCTACCGGTGCACTCTCGAGGCCGTTCAGGGTGTACTTCGGAGCTTGATTTGGGACCCGTCTGAGTTCGCCTGCTAACTTGTTGTAATCGTTTGTTCGGGGGTGACAACGTGCTACTTTCTTCTTCAGCGTGAACACGTGCTTGGTTTTTGATACTGTTTCTTTCAACCCCTTGTAGGGACGCCACAGTTGCAGACCCGGTCCGATCATTGTCAATCTTTTTCAACCCGGCCTCCTTGAGGCTGACAGGCTGACATCTATACCTCACCGCCTGCCGAAACTTTTGGCGGGCGCGGGATTCAAGACGCACGCTGTCTCACTGTAAGGGTATACAAAGTCCGGATTTCCTGCTATTTCACTGCTCCGACAAATCCTGCCTATTTCTTTTTTTTTTCCAAACCTACCAAATTACCTCTTGCTGGGCTCTTAAACAGGACCGATTGTTTAAGACGCGCATGGGTTCTTGGCACATTTGGCTCCGACAGCAACTTCACACAGACGCCTTGCTTCGCTGCCGGGGGGTAAAACACCAGATTCCTGCAAAAAACGCCAAAACCTCTGTTTTTTTGATTAAAACCAAGGTGCGTCTTAAATCCCGCGCCCGGCAAACTTTTTATATCACCCCTTCGAGGGATGTAACATACTTGCACCTCAGATAGAGAGATGGCACAGCTTTTGCGAAGTGGGGGTAGGATGTGCTTGTGTTGTGTGGATGCTTGTTGTTGACGGTGTTTCTGCTTAATCCCTTCCCATATTTTTTAAAGACCCCGCTTAATTATAAAAATACATTGGCCCAAATCCACCCGGAATTTGCCCTGCCCTTTAAAGCCCATTTTGAATTAGGGGGGGTTAGGGTGAAGGGTTCAAGGTTTAGGGCGACCCTCCCTGGTTGAGCTCATTGTCTTTTTTGAGCTGCCTTGGATCAGCTCGTCTGTCTGCAGCTGTGAGCTTGGCTCTCCGGCCTGCCTCACTATCTGCGTGTGAGCTTGCCTAGCTCACTATAGATAAAAACAGCCAGCCTGACTGCCTGTCTAGCTGTAATTAAGGTTTTTGGTTTAGGGTTTAGGGTTTTAAGGGCTTTAAAAGGGATTTACAAGGGTGCTAAGGAGATTTTAAGGGTTTTAAAAGGGTTTCACAGCTAGCATCTCTCATGCCCTAGTTCAACTCCCGTCCTCCCAAATCCCGCCAAAATTAATTCATAGTAGAATATCAACTAATCCGCTTCCTTCATTCTCAAACTTTCAATATGCTTATTCGTTTTCTTATGTTTGGCAAGATTACATTTCCGAACCTCGCAATCACAGACATCACAGCGAACCACCAAAGAATTATACAATCGTTTTTCATCCCTGTGTTTCTCACGATATTCTTTATTCCGCAAAGCAATCTCCTCCTTGTTCCTTTCTCGGCAATTTGACTTCCATTCATCAACCTTTTCCTTGTTCCTTGCCTTATACTCTCGCATATATTCTATACACCGCCGACAAGACATATAGCCTTCATCAAAATATTCAATTTTCTTATTGCGCCTACACGTAGAGCAATGTTTCCCTCTCTCTTCAATCTGCTCCATTCTCCTGATAATACAAAGACACGTTCTCTTTAAAGCTAAAATCAGAAATGGAACTATACATAGCAATTATCCTATAAACCACTCTACGCAATTATCCTATATCCACACTATCCAAAAGCCCCAACCAAACAATCTTACCAATTCCCCTATCAACCCAAAACCCCAATAACCAAAGCCCGTTAACCCCCAATCCTACCAAATACCCTACCCACGAACCGGAGCATGAACCTCATTTAATTTTCATAATGTAAATTTATGAAAACTTACTAATACATTCTATATCTATTTGGTAAGCTACGTAAAATTCTTTCTCTCAGCTTATCCTTGTCGTTTCGGATTTTTTCTGGTAGTGTTTTCAAAAACTCTTCCTTTTCTGATAACCATTGAATCGTTTTCTCACGGCTTTTTATGATTTTTACGGCAAGGTAATGATTAGGTTTCAAAACGTGTTCATCATGAATTTCGGGTCTTATTCTAATACCACAAGCTTCACAATAAATTGTTCCATTCGGTGAATACTTTTCTCACTTTTTACGGTTAATTTTTTCTCTGTATTTATCACGATATGCGCAAGCATTTTCCCTTGCTTTTTCACAGCCGATTCACAGCAATTCATACAGGTTTTAAAGCCTTCAAATAATTCTTTATCAAATGATTTCTTGCATCTGTTACAAACTTGCTCATTCTCTTCCATTCTTAATATTCTATGTCCTTTTCTCTTTCTGCCACTTTCGCCTAAGCCTTTTTTAATTTTCAGTTTCATAGTTGTTACTTCAAAAACTACACGCTTACGAAGGTATTGACTTTTGTTGGGATGGTTTCATAATTGAGACAAACTTAAAACCACCAAGAGTTTTGGAAGTTTCAACCAAGGCTAGAAATCCAAGCCTCCGGAGTTCCAAGCCACCAGTACATTTGGAAGTCCAAGCTTCCAAACAACCAAACCACCAAAACATTTGGAAGTCCAAGCTTCCAAACAAACAAACCACCAAGAGTCGGGGAAGTAGAAGTCCAAACCACCAAACCACCAAAACATTTGGAAGTCCAAGCTTCCGAACCACCAAGCGACCAAAAGTTTCCAGACACCCCTTACAATGGAACTGCAAAGCCTTTATTGAAATAGGTCCTTGCCCCTATTGAAATAGGTCAATACCCCTTTTCACATAGGTCACGACCCCGATTGAAACCTATTGAAGCAGGTCAATACCCCTCAACGATGTAGCCCTTGCACCAAATCGGTGTAGCCCTTACACCAAATCGGTGTAGCTTTTACGTCAAACCTCTCATCCAAAATAGCGCTTATAGTTATTACTATAAAAAAGTATTTTCATTCCTCAACCTTACTCGGCGTTATCACAGCCATATTCTCCATACTATACTTTTGGTTAGGAACATTTGTAATTTTATCACCTCTCATTTCTTTCACCCGTTGCTTACTTCACCTTTCCCTTTCTCTTGTTGCCGTGGCATAATCGGGGTCTTGCATTCTCAGCTTATAATATAATCTTTGATACAGTGCCATTTGTTCTCTATTTTCGTCCAGTGTCAAATCCTCAGGTTTCTTCATCGCAGTCATTTTATGTCTTACATATATAGGTATTATGTCTTTAAGGCATTTACCAAATACCAACATAACCAAAATCATAACAGGAGACTAAGGAGAAACCATTTAAAAAAATAATATCAATATATTTTAATCTAGGTTATCTTATGACTAGAAAGGCTGTTCGTGATAATATTAAACACTCAAACAACAAGAGACAACGATTAATAGAAACAAAAGCACCTAAGAACGTTATTACCAAAGTTAAACAAATAAGTGATTTATACGAGAACCGCCAACTTTCATTTTTCAAAGCCGCCGAAAAACTCATCAACGACATGACAACGGGAACACAAAAGGAAAAAGCAAAAGGCATTTAAAAGGCAGAACAAGCAATAGAAAAAAATGAAGCCAAAGCCCCACTATCAGAACGAATGAATAAAACAGCTGAAAAAGCTAGGGAAGGAAGGCAGATAAAAGTTTTGCGGCGCATTTTCGGAAAACAACCTTTGAGAAATGTGGTATCCAAAACCAAGGAGCTTTTCAAAAGTCGTAAACGTATTCCATTAAATATATGCTTCTTTCAACACAGAACCGTTCAGAAAAAAAACGAACCTTTGAAATGCACAGAGAAAAGCCAATGGAAAAGCAAACGACTTTATAGAGACTGTCATAAAACGGAGAATCACAAAACAATCTGACAAATTCCTTTTTAAGCGCCTTATGTTAATATTACGAACAGACCCAGAATTTAATGAAATGGCTAAGGGCGAGATGTATCATTATATAGATGCCATAAGAATTGAAAGTGCCAGCATCGCAGAAGGTGAAGCACAACCGCCAAAAAATCAAACTTAAGAGATACTACACACATATCCATATACAACAAAGACATTGAAACTGAGATTGACCCCAGCTACTCAACAATAAAGGAAGCACTCGCTAAAAAACATTACACCGAAAACGAATGTTGGATAAATTCTCTTCTAGACCATTACCCCGACCTTATGAGACACGAGCGGGGCTACTTTCAAAAGCCTTGACCCGACAACATATGCTAGAACTTTTACACACAACAGAAGAAGAGCTTAAAAACAAAGGCGCAACCGCAACGCAAATGGAAAACGTCTTCAAGGCATTTAACATAGCAGCGCGTCTTTTTGACTTTAACGGGAAGCTTATTTATTGCTTTGACCCGCCCGACTACCATAAACACACGAAAGGCTTCTTCGGGCTCATCAAGAACAACCACGTCTATACCATCAACAGAGACTTGAAAAGCATAAAAAGAGCAATGAATACCAATTCAACT